GAGCACCCTGGCTTCTTCCCTAAGCCAGTTGTGAGGATCACCCACATGCCTCACTGAGGTGAGAGTTCAATGGCATTAGGAAGTGAAAGTTCCTGATTTTCCTGGATGAACCTGAATGAAGGTGAATCCTCACAACATCAGTCAGGACCTGACAGGACAACATTCATTCCAAGTTCTGGAGTCATTCTCCACAGGCTTTCACTCCCAGCTTTGCCACCAGGAGTGTCAGACTTGACCTCTCTGAACCTCGATTTCCTCGTCTATCAAGAGGGCTAAGAGGGTCAAATGGGTAATTCTTATAAAGCTCTTGGCACAGAGCCTACCCTGCGGCCCATGCTCCATACATGTTGATGCCTTGTCTTCATTACCACTCTTGAGGAAAGTCTATGGCCGGCCTAGGGGCCTGTTTGGAAGGAGACAAAGTTGTGTGGATGCCTAAGTCTGCTCGCTTGTTATGGAAGCGGCCCCACCGCTGTGCCCACAGCTCACCTGTGTTTGCTGAGTTCCATTCCAGACCCAGGCCCTGGGCTCAGGAGCTCCGCTCCCGCCGAGCATGTCTGGGCACGGGAACAGAAGCCAAGACAAGTGTTTGCTTTGGAACAAAGAAGGGACAGGGATGGATTTCTGGAGGCGCCCGCCAAGTCCGAGAAAGGAGTCATCTGTTTCTCATCAGGTGGAATGCTGGGAGTGGATCCATTTCCCTGAACTGTCTGGGGTCGTTTGTTACCAGCCTGGCCACGGCTTCCGGGGGTCGGGATAGGGACTGCAGTAGGACCAGGGCCCACCACAGCCTGGCCTAGATTTGAAAATAGACTTGAATTTCTTTTGAGTCTTCAAAGGCTAGTCTAAAAATATTTCTAAGTTCCTATGCTCTGCTCCATAACTGGATGAGAGAGAGAAGGAGGGAAGGAGATAGAGACAGAGAGTGGGGGCGGGGAGGGCGTGGCTGTGGATGGGGAAGGCGCCCAGGTGAGCAGTCCTGAGTCACTGGCTCGGGGAAACTCTACTGTAGCCCTGGCTTACGTGTCTAAGGGCTGCGAACTTCTCCTGCCCCTCAGCATGGGACTCAGGAAACTGTTTTCCTGATGCAGCTGAAAGTATCGGCCTGATTGCAAAGCCCTGCCCTCCCCTCCCACTCCCGGGCAGTGCAGAGCCCTGCCTGGGACAAACCCGCAGGCCAAGGTGCTTCTTCCAACGGGGGTTGCTTCTCCCTATTGAGCTCTCATGTTCATGCTTTGCTCCTAAGAACACCACCATTTCATTAAACTTTACATATATACATACCTACCTACATAAATGGCACCCACAGTTCAGGTTTGTTTTTGTTGTTTTTTTTAAAATATATTTTATTGATTTTTTTACAGAGAGGAAGAGAGAGGGATAGAGAGTTAGAAACATTCGATCAGCTGCCTCTTGCACACCCCCTACTGGGGATGTGCCCACAACCAGGGTACATGCCCTTGACCGGAATCGAACCTGGGACCTTTCAGTCCACAGGCCGGTGCTCTATCCACTGAGCCAAACCGGTTTTGGCCAAAGCTCAATTTTGTGTTTAGTTTCTTTATCTTCTAAATGTTGTCATTAGAGTCAAGGCATGGACTAGTGAGGGTCAGAGGCTCTGCTGAATGCTGATATTCCCCAAAGTATTTTGTGCTGCTTGGCACTGAGGGGACAGTTCATGGCAAACGAGGCAGGAAGGCTCCCCTTCATCAGCCCTTCAACACTCCTCACCCCCCACCCCCCACCCCTACCCCTATGGTGGCAGTGGTGCGGAAAGATGGAGTTGCCACAGCTTGTTGCAAGTGGAAGGTGGATGCCAGGGGCTGTCAGTGCCACATCTCTCAACAGCTCCAAATTACAGCCCCAGGACTTGCATGGAAAGAACTGGGAAGTGTGGAGAGACAGAACCCATAATACCTGCTGCTGAATGAGGACTATATGTGAGGAGGAACTACTGACCTCATTGCTGTGCCCCTGGGGCCCATGGGAAGGTCTGGTCAGGTGGCCTGTCTACTTTTGCCAAGAATGACCATCTTGCTAGGGGAGGGTAAGAATCAAATGCTCAGGGAGCTCATTCTGTGAGCCAACATTGAGCTAAGAGCTTGACACACATTCGCTCATTAAATCTTCACTGCAACTAGGAGACATAGGTATTCTCCCAGAAGAGGGGAAACAGAGACTCAGGCTAAATGTTAGCTAGGATACGCTAGGTTGCCTTGCGGTAACAAACAGCCCCAAGAACCTCAGGGTTTTATGTAATTCGAGTGTGTTTCCGCAAAGCCTCACCCATGTCAAAAATTTCAAAATGTACATTGCTTCACCAAATCCCTGAAACACCATGGAGAAGCAAAAGCAGGGCATATTTCATAGCCCCGTTTCTAGAAACTGAAGACACCAAGGTGGAGAAACTTGGCATGCTCAGAGCTAGTCATTGAAATACCCAGACTCAAGCCTAGTGTTTCTGAAGCCTAATTTGAAGTTCTTCCCAATACGTCCAACTCCCTGTCATTTTAGTCTCTGGAAAGACGATTCTTTGCTTTCCCCCAAATTATCTCCTCTCCTCTACCTCCTCACTAATGCCAAAAATCCCATCATCGGGACATCCTGCTTCACTGGGCCCTGCTCTGGGGGAAATCATCATTAATGTGTGCAAAACAGTTAAAAGTGCCAAAACCGGTTTGGCTCAGCGGATTGAGCATTGGTTTGCGGACTGAAAGGTCCCAGGTTCGATTCTGGTCAGGGACATGTACATTGGTTGCGGGTGCATTCCTGGTAGGGGGTGTGCAGGAGGCAGCTGGTCGATGTTTCTCTCTCATCGATGTTTCTAGCTCTCTGTCCCTCTCCCTTTCTCTCTGTAAAAAATCAATAAAATATATTTAAAAAACAACAACAACAAAAAAAAAAAACAGTTAAAAGTGTCACAGTGTGAGGCCCTGGCCAGGTAGCTCAGTTGGTTGGATATCATCTCAATATGCCAAGGTTGTGGGTTCAATCCCCAGTCAGGGCACATACAAGAAAGGAATGCATAAATAAGTGGAATAACAAAGAAGTGTTTGCTTTGTCTCTCAAAAATAAATTTAAAAACAAATGTATCCTTGTATAGTCTTAAGTTTAAGAACATCTAAGACAGAATTCAGAGAACAGAGGATCAGGGCGAATGGGAGGACCCAGGAAGGCTGCGCTGAGAAGGGCTGAAATTCCCTCCTCATTCTCTTTCCTCTGATCTACCGCAGTTTAAAATGTGCAGTGTCTTCCCATTTACTATTGTTCCTGGACAATTCTGTTAGTGCATTGAGAAGTTGGTCACATCTTTTTTCCATTTGACCAAAAACTGAAACCTAGAGAGGATAAAGTGACTTTGCTAACACAAGAGCAAACCAGAACCTGAACTGGAATAAAAAAGCAAAAATGTTACAGAGGAATAATCATCAATCCGTATGTGTATGTGGTTAAACTTAGAGCTAGCTACCTGTGGTGTATAAATTAATATATTTTATAAAAATCAAGTTTTTAGTATGGAATATTTCATATATAATGCATATATATAACATACACTAATAAAATGCTATATCTATCCCCCTGCTTATTACCAATGTTCTACGACAGTGGTCAGCAAACCGCAGCTCGAGAGCCACATGCGGCTCTTTGGCCCCTTGAGTGTTCTATCGCCACTTCTTCAAAATACACTCGCCCAGGCCGAAACCGACTTCTGTGCATGGGCCACGAAATTTCAATCCCACCGTATGTGCGCGCCCGCATGTGGTATTTTGTGGAAGAGCCACACTCAAGGGGCCAAAGAGCTGCATGTGGCTCGAGAGCCACAGTTTGCTGACCACTCTTCTAAAGCATTAAGTCACTTTAAATTATAAAAATGGGCCTGGCCAGTGTGCTCAGTGCTTGAGCATTGACCCATGAACCAGGAAGTCAGGGTTTGATTCCTGATCTAGGTACAAGCCCCAGTTTTCGGCTGTATTCCCAGTAGGGGGGGTGCAGGAGGCAACTGATAGACGATTCTCTCTCATCGTTGATGTTTCAATCTCTCTTTGATAGATTCCTCCCTTCCCCCAACTGGTGGGCAGAGTATGACGTAACCTGCGGCCTCGACATACCAGAGTACCTAACCAGGCACCTTATATGGACTATACATCGAACCACCAATCAGCACCTGCCAAACACTCTGGGCCTAAGCCCTTGTCCCTAAGTACCTGAGTGACTAACTATGTACCTTATATGGTCCATACATTAAGCCACCAATCAGTGCGTGCCGAGTACACTAAGCCCCCATTCCTCCCCAAAAGGCGTGTTCACCTCTGCACGTGTTGCTGTTAGCCCCTTGTGAGACAGCCCGGCAGGTCCTTCTCCTCTAACAAAGCCTGTAGACCTGGTTTTCAGCTTCTGTCTGATCTTTCACCCTTCCTCTCTCTGAAATCAATGAAAACAATAATTATTTTTTAAAATTATAAAACTGATATATACTCACCTTAGCCACTTTGGCTCAGTGGTAAGAGCATGGGCCCAGAGACTGAAGGGTCTCAGGTTCGATTCTTGTCAAAGGCTGGTACCTAGGTTGCAGGTTCCATCCCTGGCCCCAGTTGGATGTGTCTCACATTGATGTTTCTCTCTGTGTGTGTCTCTCCCCCTCCCTTCCACTCTTTCTAAAAATCAATGGGCAAAACATTCTCAGGGGAGGATTAACAACAACAACCAAAGATATATAGTCTTGGTACAAAATTCAAACCATGCAGAAGATGGAAACTTTAAAGTCCCTTTTCCCATCCTGTCGACCTCTGAATTGCACTCCCCGGGGAAAATGGCTGTTATAAACTGGACACATGAGCTTATACCGTGTTTCCCCAAAAATAAGACATCCTCCAAAAATAAGACCTAGCGCATGGAAAGATAAGACATCCCCTGAAAATAAGACCTAGCGCAACTTTGGGAGAAAAAATTAATATAAGACACTGTCTTATTTTGGGGGAAACAGGGTATATATATTCATTTTGGAAAACAATCCAGTAATGTATATCAAGAGCCATAAAGATGTCTATAACTTTTGGTCCTGTCACCCCACTGTAGAATTTCCCCCAGGAAAGGATCTCCTACGCTTCCTTCCCTTCTTAGAGATGGTCAAGCTCATTACCACACATCTTCCCGTTGGCCGTGTCCTCTGTCTAGAACTTTGTTCCCCCAGATTTGCTCATAACTGAGTGTCCATTTCAGTCTCAGCTCAAATGACACCACCTCTGAGCGGTTGCCCATAGTCAGGCATCTGGACTTGCTCCCTCTCTCCAGAAACCACCTGGCACGCGGTAGGAATGCAGATCTTGGTGGAGGGGACGCATGTGCTCTCGCAAACCACCACCTGATCTATGAGGGAAGGGATGTTATTTGACTCACCTTGGGACCCAGGCAGCTGCGTCTGCAAAGAAACCATTCATCCAGGCTTTCCTGAACAAGAAAAGCCTGTGGGAGGTCTGGCGGCCTGGGGCTGTCCTGCCTGTCATTTCTTCCGGCTGAATGGCTGCCTTTCAGATGTAGATACTGCATGGAGGCATTCTAACCCCCCTCTGAAGCCTTCCCGTTCTTGGCTTCTAAAACAAAGGCGAGGTAGAGGTAGAGAAAATCCGTGAGTGAGAGTCTCTGTCAGAGTAACACCTAGGCCCTAGTTAATTAGGATGAATAATTGAACACTCTCAAGTCAGACAATGGAAACATTAAGACTTTCCACCAAAACATAAACTTGGCCAAGTGGGTGGGGCATCCAGAAGCCTCCAGAACATTGGGGGTTGGAGGAGTTTCTTATGAAGCCTGCGGGGCAGAGGAAAGATGGGCGAAAGAGACCTAGATCCCTATCCAAGCCCCTCAACACTAGCTCGGTTGCTTGGGCTGAATAATTCTAACTTTTTTTTTCCTTATAGAAAAATAAATCATGTTTCTATGAAGGAGTTAAAACAAAAATTAAAACCTACCCTCTAGGAAGACAATATTGCTATAGTGTCTGTTGTAGTCTTTTTAGTCTGTTGTAGTCTTTTTTTCTTAACATACTTTAAAAAGTGAAACTGTGATTATATTATGTACTGTCTTATAAACTTTTTTTCACTTAATAATATATTGTGAACATTTCCCCATGCCATTAAACACTACTTAATGCTGTAACTTTTTAAGGCTGTGTGGTATTCCATTGTATGGCTGCATCATCCAACCTGTCAGACATTTAGGTAGTTCCCAATTTTTATAAGTAGTTTGTCACTTATTATTTCTTTTCTTTTTAAAAATATATTTTTTTATTGATTTAGAGAGGAAGAAAGAGGGAGAGATAGAAACATCAATGATGAGAGGTAATCATTAATTGGCTGCCTCCTGCACTCCCCCTACAGGGGATGGAGTCTGCAACTCTGACCAGGAACCGAACTGGCGACCTCTCAGTAGAGGGGACAACACTCAACAAACTGAGCTACACTGGCCAGGACACCCTAAATGAATCCTATGTAATAAAAGGCTAATATGCAGATCAACCAAATGGTGGAACGACTGGTTGCTATGACCACCAGGGGGCAGGTGCTCAATGCAGGAGATGACCCCTGGTGGTCAGTGCACTCCCACAGGGGGAGCACTGCTCAGCCAGAAGCTGGGCTCACTGCTGGTGAGTGCAGGGGTAGTGTGGAAGCCTTTCCAGCCTCTGGGGCAGCACTAAGAATGTCTGACTGATGGATTAGGCTGGGGAGAGAAAGCCTAAGCCGTCAGTCGGACATCCCCCGAGGGCTCCTGGACTGCAAGAGAGTACAGGCTGGGCTGAGGAGACATCCCTCCGCCCAGTGCACAAATTTCATTCACCGGGCCTTTAGTTTAATAATATAAAAAAATAAATAAAGGAAGACCTTGATCTTTCTTGTTCTCTCTCATTAAACATTTAGTTAGGTTTGCCATATGTGCATTTGAATTCCATGTGTACCTTTTATGGCTGGCTACCCAGTAGCCCTTTCCAACCCCCTTCTTTTCCAGACTCCATAGCGGCTAAGGGTGGCCTGTTGAGAACCAAGGAGATATTTGTTATTGGGATGTGGGAGCCTTTTTTCCTTTCTCTCTCTCTCTCCCCACCACACACACCAAAAAATCTCTTATTACCTTGGCTCTGTCCATGTGGGCACATGATTCCAGGAGCTGTGGCTGCCGTCTTAGAATCACGAGGCAAAAGCCTAATGATTTAAAAAGAAACTTCTGGTAATAGTTAGTCCTCAATTACATCAGGGGATCAGGGGGCTGCTGTACCTATACAGGAGCTGCTCTGGAATCTAACCTCAAAATAATAACTTTATGGTTTACCTTAGTGGTTTTCAAAGTTAGTGGTTAAACGAACAAATTAGAGTCATCTAGGACTTTTGCTAGACTGAGACTGACTCGGCAGGTGTGGGATTCTGTATGGTTAGCAAGACCCCAGTTGATCTTGCCGCTGCTGGTTCAGGGACCACACTCTGAGTAGCAAGCATCACTGTTACACTAGCTCCACGTGTCCTGATATATCCTCTTTCTGGATGCGAAGGTCACCCTCCTCACTTCACAGGGGCAGGTATAGGGAGCCCCCTGGGAGCACTAAGACAGCGGGAAGGGCCCCTCGCTGCCAGGGGTCCATTAGCTACGTGGCAGCAGGCCCCCGCTGGTGGGTTCCTAAGTTGCTGCACCATCCAGGGATAAGCCATCCTGCTCCTGAGGCTGTGGAGCATTTGTGGAAGTCCTGCCTGCTGCTCGCTACCCCAGCCAGGCCAGCTTGTCCAACCGGACCCACGGACTCACACCCACGGGCAGATTCCGCCTGAAGCAAAAGGGATTCTAACTAGCGCTCATCCTTTTCCTGGGACCTTCCTCCACCAGCCTTCCCCTCAGCCCCACTCCAGGTAGTGAGGGGAGGGCCACTTCAGGTAGCATCTTCCTCTGTGGTTGCTAAAAGTCAGGTCTCCAAAAACAGTGGCGGTGAAACTTCAGGCCAGAGAGAAAGGATACTGACTGGCAGGAGCCTCCTACAGACGTACCCACGTATTTATCCTGGCTCTTCTCTTTCCTCCCGGCCTCAGGGAGACTGCGGCTTCCCGAATGACTGACACGCAGGGCCCGCCTCTCCGCTCTGCGCTCGGAAACCCTCCGCAAGGTCGCTGTGGCCGCAGGATTCTCCTCCTTCTCCCTGCAGGTCCCACGGGCCCGCCTATGGCTCCATGTCTCTGTTCCCTGGCAAACCACATCCCTCAGATTGCTTTCTCCGTTTTTGTACCTCCGTCTCCTGGGGTTCCTTCGCTCCTGTCCTCACCCTCATCAGGCCTAAGTCCTCGCCACCTGCTGAAGCTCTCTCGTCAAGGTCATCATGACCTCCAACTTGGCAATCTAAGCATTTCGGGGTCAGTCCTTGTCTTACCAGCTTTGGGCACAGTGAGACCCTCCCTCTTTCCTGTCTGTCTGATTACCTTTGTCAGCATCCCCCTCCCCCTCCCCCGGCTCACTCTTTCCTCGCTGCTCCTCTTTTTCAGTCTCCAGGACTGGTTCAGCCCCCTCTTCTGGACCTCTCCAAGGTGGAGACCAGGGTTCAGCGCTCACTCCCCGTGCCCTCCCTTCTAAGTGTCCCCAGGGATCCCATCTCTCCCACAGCTGCCAGTTCCATCTATCAATACAAGCTGTGGAAATGGGTGTCACCAGCCTTTCCTCCCCTTCGTGACCCTCACCCCAGAGCCATCAGCCTCACCCCTCCAGCTGCACACCCAGCATCTCCCCTAGGGTGCCTGACAGACACTTCAAAGAGAGTTTTTAAAATATGTGTATTTTTATTGACTTCAGAGAGGAAAGGAGGGGGTGCGAGAAGTAGAAACATTGATGAGGAGAGAGCATCATTGATGGGCTGTCTCCTGCATGGCCCCTACTAGGGATGGAGCCCACAACCCGGGCATGTGCCCTGACTGAGAATCAGATCTTGACCTCCGGATTCATGGGCCTCCACTCAATGACCCTGGCACGGCCCTGAAAGAGACGGTAAGTAATGCTGATGCCCGGGCCCGGGCCCTGGAGATCCTGATTTGGCTGGTGTGGCTGTGAGCATCTCTGGGAGGGGTGAGCCACTCAGCGCCGTGAACAATGTGGCCTGGCAGTGTTTCTGAGGGAGCCCGGTGCCAGGCCCTTGCTGGCTGCTTGGAAATACAAAGGGATGTGGTTTCTCAGAGTTTCCATTCGCCTTGGAAAGCCAGACTCAGGAAGTGAGCTCAGGGTTCTGGGGATGAAGTGCAGGCCGAGGGGAGGAAATGGCTGCCACTGTGAGGGGCATCGACCAGGACACTGAGCCAGGCCGGCTCTGTTGGTTCAGTCTTTCCTGCAAACCTGTGTGTTGGTGTAAAAGGGACCCAGGTGGCCACGCAGGCACTTGGCCCCAGAGGGCTGGGAGATCTTGGATGCTCGTTATTCAGGTTAGGATCTTCCGTTTCCCTGCCCCCAGTACAGACCTTGGACTTTGAGTCTGAGCTCCTGCCCTGGACTTCTCCAGCTCTTTTTTTCATCCTGGGACAGTCAGGCCAGGTGACCTTCACAGCCAATGACCTTCATAGATTTGGGGCTTGGGAGGAAGCCAGTGGTGCTTGGTTGGCTGCCTGCTGGAATCACCTGGGGAACCTTTGAAAAAGCCGCTGAGCCCTGGCAGGTTAGTTAGCTCAATTGATTAGAGCCTGTCCCGATTAGCCAAGGTTGTGGGTTCAATTCCAAGGTCAGGACACATACAAGAAGTAACCAATGAGGGCATAAATAAGTGGAACAACAACTTGATCTCTCTGGCTCTCTTCTTTCTCTCTAAAAATCTATTAAAACTTATTTTTAAAAAATTAAAATGCCCTATTAACTTAAAATCTTTGGCAGTAGGACCCAAGCATCAATATTTTTTAAAATTTTTTATTGTTGGAAGTTTTACATATGTCTCCCTTTCCCCCCACTGACCTCTCTCTGCCCGCTCCCACCGCCCAACACATGCCCCCACCCCTCTATTGTCTATGACCACTGGTCATGCTCATATGCATGAATACAAGTCCTTTGGTTGATCTCTTACCTGCACACCAACCTTCCCCTGCCTTCCCTCTGAGATTTGATGGTCTATTCAATGCTTCTCTTGTCTCTGGATCTATTTTTATTCATCATTTTATGTTCTTCATTATATTCTACAGATGAGTGAGATCATGTGATATTTATCTTTCTCCAACTGGCTTATTTCGCTTAGCCTAATGCTCTCCACGTCCATCCATGCTATCGCAAATGGTAAAAGTTCTTTCTTTTTTACAGCAGCATAGTATTCCGTTGTGTAGATGTACCATGGTTTTTTAATCCACTCATCTGCTGATGGGCACTTAGGCTGTTTCCAAATCTTAGCTATTATAAATTGTGCTGCTTTGAACACACATAAGGGTGCATATATTCTTTCTGATTGGTGTTTCTAGCTTCTTAGGATATATTCCTAAAAGTGAATTATTGGGTCAAATGGGAGTTCCAGTTTTAATTATTTTCCACAGTGGCTGCACCAGTCTGCATTCCCACCAGCAGTGCAGGAGGGTTCCTTTTTCTCCACATCCTCACT